GTATTGCAGAGCCCACGAGCCAGTGCTTTCCCAGCAAAGTAAAAGACTTGAGTCATCAACTTGAGAATCCTTCACTGGAGTCCCTTGACTTGGTCTCCATGTGTCCATATCTGGCAGCTGTTAAATCAAACACCTCAACTCTTGGTGGAAAGCAAGAGGAGGGAAATTAGGCCAGGATGGGATTTCCAAACTGTTTAGGTCACAGTCAGTCAAGGCAGAACCTGATACCAAGGAGTTATTTGTTGGACAGTGCAGGCTTGGCAGTTCTGGTACCAAATGTTCCATCTCCCAAATGTTTTCTAACAGTCACATTCTGTACTCTTGGAGGTGTCTCAGACATGGCCCATAAAATGACAGGCTCAACAATTCAGCCCAGACACAGGAAAAGATGCCTCTGGTGAGATTATAATGCTGAGAGTTTCCTCCCCAAAGACAGTTTTTCTGCAGTTGCTGCAGTGTCACCATCCAGAAGTACCTAGAGATGGAAATCTTAGGCAATTCAGCTCAGCAAGAAAAGTAGGCAGCAGAAACTGTGTAGGTGAAGGAGCAAGTGTCCACTTCTCCTTCTGAGCTGCCCTTCAGGCAACCAGTACTGCTGATCTTGTCCAGAGTGATGTCACCCTGTGTCCCCAGCCCAGCCTGTTCAGGGTACACCTTGCTCAGCAGCACCCAAAGAGCAACCATGGAAACTGGAGCTGGTGGGGACTTCAGAGGCCTCACTGCTTACCCCTCACTTTTCCCAGAGTCACAGAATCATTAGGGGTGGGAGGGACCTCTAGAGATCATCCAGTCCAACCCCCTTAGCAGGGACATCTGGAGAGGTGACACAGGAACACATCCCGGTGGGTTTTGTCTCCTGAGAGACCTCCCTGGGCAGCTGTTCCAGTGCTCTGCCACCCTCAATGGAGAGAAGGTCTTTCTCATGTTGAGGTGGAACTTCTTGTGGTTTAGTTTATGGCCATAATACTTTTTGTCTCTAACAGCTCATTGTCCATCTCACACAGAGCAGAATTTCCATGCTCAGCAAACAACACGTGTCCAACACTGAGCATCTGGAGCTGTCTTTAGGGAGAGACTCCAACTTAGAGATCAACTGAAATTAGTAGGAGGTTAAAATCATTGGAACTGAGGGATTAGATTGACCTTATGAATTTTATTAGTTATAAATAGGAAAGCTTTTTCACTTAGTGTTGCCCGTAACAACTCCTGGTCAACACTGCTTCCTGAAAATAATTGGTACGGAACCCATCCCCATATTTAGCTTTTTGTCCACTGCCAGGCAATAGTTCTCTAATCTTTTGGACACCATAAATAGGTTTGAAAGAGTGATGAATTCACAGTATTTTGAGACTTCCTAGCATTGGCCCTGTCCCTCCCTGCTGAGGAAGTGGTCACACAATCTGTGCCAGCTCTATTAAAGCACTTGCACCGAGGCCATTGCATTAGAGAAGTCTCTACCTGTTCAGAGAGGTGGGTTGTCACCAGCAGTACTGGTTTCTTGAGAGGCTTTTCTTTTCAGTTTGAAGAAGTAAATTGAATTGTCAGAAATAAATTGAAAAGCTACACATTTCTAGAGAATAGAGGAGAGAAATGAGTAAACATATATAGGTCTAGAAATGTTTTTAAAAGTCAGTTGAGAGAAATGTCATCTGTTTTCCCAAACATATTCCTAATAGAAGAAGCAGGTAAAATACTACTAACACATAATTTGGATTTAATTATCTCACTTTTTTGGATGAAATTAGTATGTTTTTACTTTTCTCTCTCTTTGCAAACATTCAAGGCCATTGTTTTAGAAATGTGTGTCCTAGACCTGGATTCCCATGGGAGCCTTCTGTGGACTTCAGTGTTTGAGATCTCAATCAGATTATTCATAAAGCAGCTTTGGGATCTTCTTCTCCTGGGATGAGATAATAGAACAGGCCAAGTTTAGAGATGGGATGTTCTTCTGGTGTTTTGGGTGTGCCAAAGGCACAGTGCATTAATGGTGCATGTTACCAACTCTCTGCAAAGCCACGAGCAGAGAGCCAGGCACTTGATGCTTTGTTTTATCTGCAGAGCTTCTCATGCCTTCATTTTCACACTTCTCTTTCTTGTAGGGAGAGCATTGAGAAAAGACACTCCAGCCATCCTTCGCCAGCACCAATCCATCCAGTAAATTCCCTCGGACATAACCGCAGCTCAAACGAGCAGATCAGGAGCCATCTGAACCCCGAGGTCCGAGAGAAAGAGAAACCCAAAGAACGAGAGAGGGATCACTCCGAATCCCGGAAGGAAATTAATGTTGAAGAGCACAAGGTGAAGGACAACTATATTTCGGAGAAAGAAGGCCTGAGCCATGAAAGCCGAGTGGTGGAAGAGTCTAAGCAGATGCCCAGGGTTCCTTCCCCCTATGCCAGGCCCCCCGTTGTGGAGAGCACCAGGCCCAACAGCACCTCAAACCGCGAGGCCGAGAGGAAGAACGAGCCGGCGTACGAGAATCCCAAGAAAAGCAACGAAGTCAAAGTGAAGGAAGAGCGAAAGGAAGACCATGATGTTCAACCTGAGGGACCTCAGACTCATCGGTCATCTGATCAGCCACCACCTATATCTACATCCAACGTCCATCCAAGTCCTCTAGTGTCTATGCCCATGACTGTAGGTGTAACTGGAATACATCACATGAACAGCATCAGTGGCCTGGATAGGACTCGCATGATGACGCCTTTTATGGGAATTAGCCCAATTCCTGGTGGAGAACGTTTCCCCTATCCTTCTTTCCACTGGGACCCGATGAGGGATCCCTTGAGAGATCCGTACAGAGAGCTGGATATTCATCGGAGAGACCCCCTGGGCAGAGACTTTTTGCTAAGGAATGACCCCCTTCACCGTCTTTCCACGCCAAGACTGTACGAAGCAGACAGGTCGTTCAGGGATCGGGAGCCTCACGACTACAACCACCACCACCATCACCACCACCCTCTGTCTGTCGACCCTCGGCGTGAGCACGAGCGGGGCACCCACCTGGACGAGCGGGAGCGGCTGCACATGCTGCGGGAGGACTACGAGCACGCGCGCCTGCACTCGGTGCACCCGGCCGCCCTGGACGGGCACCTGCCCCACCCCAGCCTCATCACCCCGGGACTCCCCAGCATGCACTACCCCCGAGTCAGCCCCCCCACGGCACACCAGAACGGCATCCTCAACAAAACTCCCCCCACAGCAGCTCTCAGTGCCCCCCCGCCTCTTATTTCCACGCTGGGACCTCGGCCCGGGTCTCCCAGAAGGACTACTCCTCTGTCCACGGAGATGAGGGAGAGGCCCCCCTCTCACACCCTCAAGGACATTGAAGCTCGATAAGCAGAGTGAGACTGAATAAAAACCACAGAAAGAGGGACAAAAACGTTGTACATGAACATAATATAAAGACCTTCTTACTAGTCATTGCTACAGACTGGGGATGTGACCCACTGTACAATATGTATAGACCCGAGTGCAAAGATTTTGAAATGGTTTTTTTTGTATATTATATGTTGAAATTTTCCAGATCTTTTAGCCAAGTCCATACGTTTCTCGTGTCTCCTACTCTATTTTATTTCTAGTTTAAGAATTTCAATATTTGAACTGAAGAACAAGACATCAATCCGAGTGATTTGACTAGAAACAAGCCACCACCAATGTCAACCCTACAAAGCTCTTTCAGACCAGAAATGAAGTCAATTGTAGATATTTATGTAAAAAGATTGCTTCATGGGTTAATGGTTCATATATGCAAAAAGGGTAAGATGAAAGCTTTACTTTGTACAAATGTAAATAGATAAAATTAAGTAACATAATACATTAATACTTCTTAAACTGTGCTATTTGCAAACTTAATATTGATCAACACAGTCTGCTTATGCTGTGTTACATATATTGTTATAGACAGCTAAACCCCTTCAACTATGCAATGAATTTAAGGCTTTTCACAAAAGCCCTTATAACTCAAAGGAGCCTTTTCAACACACAACATAATTAAAGTCATATTTTCCCTGAACAAGCTCATTTCTAATAGGAGCCTATTTCTCTTGCTTGTTTTGATGAAGAAACAGCCCACTAGAGGTGCAGTTTTCTGTCTGAAGCCCTGCATGAGGCTGCTGAGGTCACTGGAGCTCGTGTGTCGCTTCCACGGCGTCAGGGTCAGTGCTCTGTAAGCACCGACACTGAAGTCACGGCCAATTGGTTTTCAGTCACATTCATCTGGGTTAAACAGGAATAATCAAATGCTGGATCTTTTCCAGAACTTTTGTCACTTAACATGTCAAATTTCTTTCTGGAAGAGCATCTGCTTATAGCCATTCATGTCTGGTTTTATTGCCAGTGTGTCATTTTTATCTGTACACACGCTTTTCTTTTTTTTGTGTTAAGGGATTTTTAGCTACCTTGAAACAAATCCTACAAGAATACTTTTCTAAATGATGGATATGTTTTCACTGTGGATCAGTGTTTAATTAATGAACTCCATTGCAGATTTCATAATGCAATTTATTGTATTTCAGTTGGTAATAAAGTCTGTGAAGAGTTAACAGGCCAGCCTTGTTGTTCCCTAATCACAGAAGCCATGAAATAACACGAAGAACATGGTCCTTTTTACAAATATGAATCAATCTTCTGAAATCTTGTCTTTTCATAGCACACTTTTTTATAATGCATTAAGTTTCTTGTCTAAATATTTGGAGAGAATATGACTTTATCAGAGAGAATTCAATATCTTGTCTACTGGACTGTAAAATATATGTATGAAATAAAATTAGTTCCATTGGTCTTCTAGTGTATTAAAGTGCTATCTGAAGTTGTTACCCTGTTTTGGCAAAAAAAAAAGAAAAAAAAAAAAGAAAAAAGTTAACTACAGACAGTTGTTTCTAATGATCAGAGATCTATTTTAGTAGTCAACTGAAGGTTTAGTTGTGAGCTTCAGATTTTGTGAACTCCAGATGTTGTGCGGTGGTTTCTTTTCTTTTTTTTTCTTTTTTTTTCCTTTTTTTTTTTTTTAAAGAACAAAAGGAAAAATCCAAAAAAAATCCCGACCCTGAGGAATATGTACACTGGAACCGTAGTGGTAGCTTTCAGTATTGTAAAGAGATTGTTATATACAAACCTTTTTGCTGTTTATCCTGTATGTAATAAAGTCCTTTCTAGATCCTATGTGAAAAGCAAAGTGAAGCGGCTCTCAATCTTCAGCATGTTTCCTCATCAGCGAAGACTTGTGTAATGTAAATTGTGCCATGTTATTAAAAAATGTGAACTAAACTGCTAGGTGCTTCTTTGTGTGGAGTACCCCAGCGTTGCCATGGGGAAGAAATCCTTTTTCCCAACAGTGGGGTTTTGTTCAGAAGGAATAGCTGTTAAAAATGGAAAGGAAATGGCAAGCTTTTCTAAGCCATCTTATTAAAATTATTAGAGTGATCAGAGAAAAAGGAACAAAAAGGAGACCACATCCTTGGCTTCTTTAAAATATAGTAATACCCTACTTGGATTAGATTTTAATTAGACCATAATCTCAGTCTTCTGGATGCACATCATTAAAAGCCTTCTGGGTTTCTGACTGAAACCAGTTCTAGGTGGCCACAGAAGGATGGAACTACTGGAGCAAGTGTGAGAGTCCCCATGAGAGAGGTTCTGATGAAAGCATCGTCTTCCAGGCTCATCTCAGCGCTGTCAGAGGAGCCCTGACAGCTCTGTCGGTGTCTTCAGGGGGAAGAAACGTGCTCTTCATTGTCCAGACTATGATCTTTGTCCTCCCAGGTGCTGAGCAAACTCTTGCTGCTGGTCCTTAATTCCCAATTAAGCCAATGAGCCCTCACTCCCAGAGTCCCAGGAAGCATCGAGGCTTTCACTCCCTTTGATTTCAATCCAATTTAAGATCCGTGTGTCAAGTCTTCTACTGCTGGTGATGCTCAGAGGAATATGCCTGAGAGGTATAGAAAGAGATGAAACCAGATTTTTTAATGCTTTTAAACTCTCTCAGGTGCCTTCCTTGTTTTTCAGAAGTTTGATGCAGGGATGTTAGCTTGCAGGTATAGACAATTTGATCTTTTTTGCAGGGTTTTCTCTTCAGGACATTTGTCTTAAATCTTCTATTTTTGAATTCACTAGTGTTTAAGAAATGAAGTTCATTTAAAGACCACACCAAGTACCATCTGTGGGAATGAAATGAGTGGTAAGAGTATTAATTCTGTAGGTTGTGTGAGATTTAGATCACAGAAAGCCCTCAGCTACTGTGCTTACAGCACCCAGGACTTTGCTTTAGGCTTTAAAGTCCCACCTTCCCACACTCCAACTATTTTTCCACTTAACTTAGCATCTTCCTATCACCAGTTGAGATGCCAACCATAGTGTACAGGAGAGGAATCTTGGAAAGCACTCCTAACATTTGTTTCCCAATACAATGTTCATTAAATGCCACGCTTTGACCCTTCTTTTTTAACTTTCTATATTGTCTTTGTTTTTCCTTACCTTGCTCTAGCCTGGTTTTCATCTATTCAGACCTTACTGCTGCAATCTTTGCAGTCCTTTTCTCTCTCATGGCCTATGACAGCTAAATCTATCACAGGCAGCAATAGACACTGCAGAATATTTTCCCAAAAGTCACAGACATCTTATATTTTTGTTCCTTTTTACCTTTGCCTGTATGAGCTCATGAAAACTGTAGTCCTTGCTGGACTGGAAGATAGGGGAGGATTTTACTGAAAGTATTTTCGTTTGCTGTGGCTGTGCCTTGTTAAGTAATTCTTTAGCACGATTCTTGCTGCTTTGAACTCTAACTGCTGCTTCACACGTGCAGGTGACCCTGCTGAAAGCCCCCTGGAACAAGGTAACACACCAGTGGTCATGTTGTTTTCCAGAGGAGCTCCTTGACTTGCTGCTCTGGTTCTGGCAAGGAAGAAGAGTGAGCTGTGGTTCAAACAGTGGCCAAAGGCTCAGATCACGTGGGGTTTTGTTACTCCCACGGTGACTCAGTTAAGTCCCACCTGGATAAACCAACTTCCTTCTTTGGACTCCACCTGCCAGCTTTGAGCATACCTGTACTTACCTTCAGAGGGTGATTTGGAGCAGGATCCCAACTGAAACGGGCTGAATTGCCTTTTGAAGGTGACTCTGCCTTAACTCTGGATGAAGATAAACCTCTAACTTTGCTGGTTGAGAAAAGTGCACGCAAAGGAGTGGTGGGACTTCCTCCTCCCTTGCTGGTTTACAGTCTGTCAGAGCTTCCTTGTTCCCACTGTAAGGTACCAGTCCTGGCCATTCCTTAAGTGAAGCTCTTTTGGGGACTGTCTGTCTCTCACTCTGTGATTGCTCTGTGCTTGCTACCCTGACTGGGGCAAGTGAGCATTGCCCAGTGCTGCTGTAATACAAAAAACTCCCTCAGTAGTATTAAAACTGAAGGTCTCAGTGAATTAGCCATGGTAACCTCTATGAAAGCCTCCAGATTTTTGCCAGCTGAGGAGAACCAGAGCTGCAGGTGAGGGCACACTGTTCTCCCAGTGTCCTGTCTCCAGTTGGAGGGGCTGGGACTGCTTGTGGCCATGGGCAAGGTGGAAGTTCCCAGCTGGCAATGTGTTGGGGACACACACCTTCCCTTTTCCACAGGTGTCTTGCAACTGAAATCATGTTAGCAAAAGGTATTTCCTGGTGATAAAGAATATCCCCCTTCTCATTCCTGCACTGTCTGCATATGGAGACACAGGTATTGATAGCTGTCAAAATGCTCACGTGCTGTCAGGCACAATATCAGGGATGAAGCTCAATCCAGCAAGGAGCAGGATATGAAATCATGGTGCCACCCTACAATCTCCCACATCCTTTGTGCTGCCATTTGGTGTTTCCTCTACTGGGCTGGTAATCCCTGTTTTATACATGGGAAAAGTGCTGCTGGGAACACAAAACTCAGAGTCACCAGTGGAATACCAGGTGCCTGAGTCAGCCCAGGAGTCACCCAGAGGTTACTGTCCAAGCCACTTGAGAACAAAAAAAAAAAGCCTGGATCAGGTAAATTGCAGAGTCAGTGGTGGTAGGAGATGAGGAATTTCTGCGCTGCTCTTCTGGTTTTAGAAAGCACTTTCAACCCTCGCCCATGTTAACAACTTCTGGCACCCTATATTTGTTAAACTTATCCAGGAAAGAATGGGTTTACTTATTTATTGATAATTCAAGTACCTCAAGTATTGACCCAAGCTGATAAGGCCTGTGGTCATTCTGATTACTGAGGGCAGATATGCTGTATTTTAGCACTTAATGTGGCTTGTTTAATCATCATTATTGCTCAACATTGAAACTCACTTCGAGTGCAGCATTTTCCTTGATTGAATTTATAAGTTTCTCTACTGAAAAAGCTTGCATATAGCCCCAGGAACTGAACCATCCACCCCTTGGTACAATTATCTTTGTTTCAATACAAGAAAATAATTAAGCATGAACTCAATCAGCTTATTACATAGAGCCTTTACCTATATACATATATACATGTATACAAAATATACAGTATGATTATGAAATGTATCTTTTGCTTTGCATCTTCAAAGCCCTTAACTAGTTTCTGTTGAATCACTGTTGAGGGGGCAGGGTGGGTGCTTTATGCAGCAGAAACTGCATTAAAACCTTGGAAATTTGTTTTCTTTTCTTTTACAGACAACTGAAAATGCAACTATAAACTTCCTGGGATTTTCAGTGGTCCCTATTTTTGGGGGCTCGGTGTATTTGGTGGAAACATGATGCATTTGGAGCTCGTTTGATTAAAAAAAAGGGTGTTATTGCCCTCCAAAAGGAAAGCTTTGTCTCAGTTAATCCTAGAAAGTGAAGCAGAACTGGATGTATTTTAAGCTGTTAGAAGAAGATGTCGTTCTGCAGCCGTACCACAAGAGGGTAGTTCAAGAGAGCCTGAAATGTGTGCAGGCTGACGGGATGGCTCTGCTGTTTTGGGCAAGGTGAATGTAGCAGTAAATTATTTTTATGAGAGTCTGATCTGTGAGGAGCTCTCCTGGTCCCCTGCATAAATGAGAGAAACCCCAGTGGGGCTGTGGCAGGCACTGATCAGGTTGATTAAGGAGTGACCTTGCTTTATCACATTTAATACAAGGCACTGGAAGTGGTCCATACCCAGAGCATTCAGCTCGATAAAGGCAATTGTATTTTGGAGAGTTAGGCTTAAATTGCACAGTGCTACAGTCCAGCAACAAAGCACATTACTTGTGTAAAGGGAATAAAAGATGCTTCTCTATAGCAAATAGTATGTACAGTATGAGTTAGTGTGTGTTGGACTCAGTGATCCTTGTGGGTCCCTTCCCTCAGGATATACTATGATTCCATTCTATGAGCTCCTTAAAGTCTCTGCCTTTAGTGAGCACATCCATCTGATTTTTCCATTTTCTGGCTTTTGAAACAATTAGCCAAGGCCTAAGCAAGAGAATTGCTTCCTTTGGAGATGGGGGAAAAAACTGATGCCAAATTTCCTAAGAAGATAAATTAAAATGGTTTATTTACCATCACCGGAGCTGTCTGCTTAATACCAGCAGAAAGCTTGGCCCTGCTTTTACCTTTTCTACCCTATTTGCCTTTGTCACGTCAGCGGAGAGCCAACATGGAACAGGGCAGTGGGCACAGCACCAAGGCTGCCAGAGCTCAAGGAGTGTTTGGATGATCCTCTGGGGCACAGGGTGTGACTCTTGGGGATTGGCCTGTGCAGGGCTAAGGATTGGACTCAATGTGGGTCCCTTCCTGGCTCGGCCTATTCTGGGATCCTGTGATTTCCCTGATGCTGCGCTCGCACTCCTGACTCTCCCAAAGGGCTGCCTGAGGAGCAGCAAGGCGTAGCCCCACATAGCCCCACTGCTGTCTGGCCTGGCTGAGGACCACAGCGGGGCTGGAGGAGCCTTCATGTCCCTCCTCATATTGCCTGTCCCCAGACTGGCCATGGCAAGCACCTGGAAATGCATCTGTCCCCATGGGCACAGCCTGGGGTGTCTGACCTGGAGCCTTTGGGAAGGGTGGCAGCCCCTCGCCACCTGCTCCCAGGACACCTGGGAATGCTGAGAAGAACTGAGCTCAGCCAAAATCGGGGTGCCCAGCTCTTCTCACCTGGGAGCCACAACAGCGTTTCCATGATGCCGGCAGTGATGTGGAGCGCGGTGCTGAGGAGATGGAGGCTCACAGGGGCACCTCGGCACCCTGGCCATCCCCACCCCAACACCAGGGGGGCTCCCCCGGCAGCACCAGGGCTGAGGGGGGATGCAGGCCCTGCCCTGAAGGCAGAGCTTGACGTGCCCCACAGCCCTGACGATCGTGTCTCATCCACCTCGCAGCGTTACTGCCGGGGCTTGTTGTCAGCGGAGTCATGCTATGATAGTCATTATGGTTTTAAATGACTCATTTTCCACTTAACTGTATTATTGTGGCTTACAGAGCATCTGGAGCTTTGCAGCAGTAAATACATCACTGAATGCTACAGCAATGTACCAATCTATTGCTTTGAAGAATCTGTTTAGCAAAATGCAGCCGGGGCGGGCAGGTGTGTCTGCGCCTGTGCCGGCCAGCCCAGCTCTCCAGGGCACCTGTCCTGCACCAGAAAGGGGTAGGAACGCGGCTGATGGTGACCTGTTTGTGCAAACTGATTGAGCATCTTTAGTGCAATTTGATGACGCCTCAATTTGGTGGTTTTAGTGTGAAAAAATGAGACATTCTTGTCAAGACGCACGAGACCCTGCGCTGGCGCTGAGGTGGCCGGGCCTGTGAGGTGTTGGCGTCTCGGGGAACGCCATGGGTCTTCTCTGATCACCCTGACTGGAAGGACCCCCTCTCTAACATGAGGAAGGACTTTTTATATCATATTTATTATGGAGTTTTTATGTTTTCTCAGCGGTAGGCACGGCCCGGGATGGAGCTGCAGAGGGCAGTGTGGGAGAGGGAAAGCCCGGCCAAGATGGCGGCGGGGCCGGCGCGCTCGGGCACTAGAGGGAGATGGCGGGCTGCGGCTCGGGCAGCTCTCACAAAGCCAAAAATACGACTTTTTGGGGGCTGTTTGGGTTTTTAACCCCCAAATGGACCCTCCCTGCCCGCAGCTCTTGTGCCGGGCTGCAGAGAGGCGGCGGCCGGCGCTCCTCGGGCGGCCGCGCCTCGAGCTCTGCACAGATCTCAGCAGCTCCCGCTTCTTATTTTAGAGCTGTGAGGGGCTGGGGGGAGAGTCTGGTCGGGAGTTATTTTGATAAAGGCATCTTGAGAAACATCTTGAGGAACGCAGCAAGTTGGAAGTAAAGGCTGGGGGAAAAAAAAACCCGCACTGTCTGTAAGTTCATGTGTCGCCTGAGGTGATGGAAAAATGAAGTGGGAAAAGGAGCAGGTGCGACAGACTGGGGTTCGCATGTGTTCATTTACTTGTCATAAAAACAGGCAGCAAACGCTTTGCTTTCTCCGCCAGCTCCTCGGAACGTGGTCCCTGGTGCCCTCGGCCCTCGGGAGGACAGACTGGCAGCAGCAGCAGAAATGCCAGGGAAGGTCAATGTGGTGGCCTGCGGCTCCACATAAACCTGGTTAAAAGTAAGAATTAAAGGGAAATAAAAGCCTGTTTAGGGAGGGGAAAGAAACGCCCAACAACTCCTCTCTTTTCAGATTTTTGCCACCCATACTCACCTTGTTGCCTCTTCCCCAACAGCCTGTGTAATTTCTCACTTTGTACTTAAAAAGAAGGCAGGATGCTGGGGAGCAAGAGAAACCCTTTAGTAGTTTCTTTTCTTCGCCAGAGTTGAGTTTCATTAGACAAGTTTGGGTGGGAGAAGTTGTTTTCCCTGAACACCGTCCTGGCACAGCCTGGCTGGGATGGGTGGACAGCAGGACGGTGAGGACAGACAGCTGGTCACTCAGGATGGGCTGTGTCCTCCACTTCGGGTGTGAGAATGAGGATCTCGAGGATTTTGAAGGGGAATTTGTACTCACACCAGCATCATGTAGGTTTAGTGTGACAGGGGGACTCCTGAGCTCTGGTAATGTGGGGATGAAGCCAGACTGTGTGGAATTAGACATAAAATTTGCTCTCACTCCAGTTGTGTGGAGGTAAATTAAGTGTGTGTTGTTCTGTAGCATGTTTCTTCAGACGACTGCACGTTTTACAATTGTATTTCAAAGCAAAGGACTAGAGGCTTCAGGTTTGATTTCTGTTGCAGCCTGCTGGGGAGTCTTAAAATGAATATTAAGAACCTGTGCCTTTGTTTTTTCACTATGATAAGTGATGCTTTTCTCCCTGTCCTTCCCTCCTGCCTTGTCTCTTGTAAAGAATTTTATATCTGTTATTAGGAATTCTGTAAGAGAGGTTTCATCGTGGTCTTTTCGTTTTATTCCTTTTTTTTCCCTGCAGTTACATTTTCTAATACCCATTAGCAATGCAGTAAGTCTATTCTGGCAGATTATTTAGTTTTATCTTTAGGTTGGCTTGAATTTGGAGGGCCTACAATCACTGTGGGCATTGGATTTTAAGAATTGTTCTGTAATGACTGCAATAGCTTTATATCACTGCTAATTCTGAACTCCGTGAACCTGTTCCCTGTCTCCACAGCTTTGGCTGAGCAAACTTTGCTCTGAATGGCACCATGACTGCTTGATGAAACAGAGAACAGTCTATTTGCAGCAAATCTAGCATAGAGTGGGTGGATCTCTGACTAATTGATAATCTACATGAGTTTCTATGAAATTCTGGAATCTAGACTACTGTGGGATCAAACTGGACCTTGTTTTTGTGCCTGTGCCTTTGACAACTTTCTCCCCAAATGTGCAGGACTGAATTTGCCCGTCACTGAAGGGTGAATGTCCTTGACTTTGACTTCCAAAATACCTGCTGCATGTTGGTGTGTGAACTCAGCACTTTGCTGAACCTGGGAATCCAGCTGGAAAATAAGAAGACAGCTCTGCAACACCACACCTGTTGGTGATTCTTGCTTTTGATTTTCTTTTTAAATGCATCCCATCAGTGAAATTGCATCCCATCAGTGACATTTTCCACTTAACTCATCAAGACAGGAAAAGACCCTCACAAATATATATTGTGGGGGACAAAAGACAAAATGTGATGATCAAGTGTAAAATAGTAGGATTTTCTTTTGTCTACAATACTAGATTAGAGTTTTGGCTCTATAAAGGAAAATTAGTTTGCTATTATCTTGTGTTTTTTTGGCAGGTGGTTGACTTCAGAAGTTCAGATGGATTATCTGGAAGGCAAATGCAGAGTTAGCACCTCTGTAATATCTGATGGGTATAAAACCAGTGCCTGAACATTAGCCTGGGGGAGGATGTTGTGTGGGGATATTTCTGCTTTGGAGCAAGGGACAGAGGATGGTCTAACTGGGAGATAAACAGGAGGTCTAAATGGAAAGTAATGGAAACTCACTTGCAAAATAAAAAGGTTTTTTTGTGCATTTCTGAATCTGCAAGTGTTGGAAAGACAGAGGCTGATGATACTTGTGAATCTTTTCTTCCTGTAGGTAACTGAAGACCTGTTGAAGGTAATAAACTCTCTCACTGCTGAGCATCAGAGAAATCCCAGGAGTTCCTGAATTTCTCACAGGAATGAAAACATTTATTAGCGATGTTACTGGAAGAGTTGGGGCAAAATCACCTATTTTGGTTGTTTTAGTAAAGCTGAACAGGCACCAGGTTGGGGTTGTGGAGCTCTTGTTGCCTCTGCAGCTCAGTAAGAGACTCTCAGGTTTACATAGTTTACCCAAGATCAAAATGAGCCTAATATTCCAAACTTCTCTGTGTATATTATCCATTGTATTATATCTCCATCCTGTAGATCTGTGAAAACAGTAAACAAGAGAAATCATTCTTCTGGATGGAGAATGAAACTCTCCTGATAACTTTAAAAGACAAAACAGACAGTGTCAATTTGAAATGTTTACCCAGGATGAAGTAATGGTTTCTAATGCCCCAGCACAGCCACAGCCTGGGGTGGTTTGCCACAGGGCAGACGGGGACCTGGGACCATGCCAGCTTCAGGAAGCAGAGTTCAGGCTCTCTGTGAATCCCAGGGCATATTCCAGAGCAAGCCAAGCCAATAACTGAGTCTTTGCAATAATCAGACTTTCAGGTTCCCAAAACGCTGACACGCATCAGTCCAGAGGAACCCAAAAACTGAAGATATTTTCCTTTGAAATCTGACCAAAGGTTCCCTTCTCATATTTTCCCTGAGGGGAGCACAATCCACAAGTCTGGAGGCTCTGCCAACTTTGGTAGACACAAGTTTCCAAACGCTGCTGGTGCTGTAGAGCACCAAAAGCCCTTTCAGGTGATTTATGTGTCTGCTCTCCCTGAGATGTTGTGAAATCCCTGCAGCCTAAGAGAGTCCGTAGGGAACCGGCCCCTGTTTTTGGAAGAGAGTCCATTCCAGGAGGCATTTTCATTTTGATTCATTGCCTTTTTCCAGTGTTTTCCTGGAAGATTTTCAGCAGCTCTAATTCTGCCTTGTGTGCTTTGGTGGCAGACACCTCAGGGCCCATCCTGGCACACTGAATGTGTGCATGTGGCACTCAGCCCTGGTTTGGGCAGCACCTAAAGGCCACCACAGAGCTCCAGCTGCTCACTGGGCTAAGGCATGTCTGTTTGCTTGTTTAGATTTGCTTAGTTTTGGGTGTGAGTCACCTGTGCCACGGTCTATAAGGCAGGAAAAGGTGGCTCCCTAACCAGGTATGGCCCAACCAAGACTGTGCAAAGACAAGGAAACGGCTTTGCCTTAACGGGATGGGCTTTGGTGCCAAAGTGGTTTTAGTGGTTTATGTGTTGCCCAGTTTTTTCAGGCAGTGAAGAAGCACTTTAGGGTGGGATTTGGTAGATACTCAAACCAACAGCTTTTGGGTGAGCTTCTCCCACAGGTGGAAGGTGACAGTAAGAGACAAAGTATGCAGGTTCATAGGCTACAGCTGAAGTTTGGAGGGAGCAGGGCTGGGAGGTTTGATCTGTTTCTTCTCTTACTCCAGCCATCCTAAACGAGGTCAGGGTACAGCAGCATAAATTAAGTATCTCACTAAACCATAGACAGGAGTCGAATACTTGCAGGTCCACAGTGAAGACAGACCTCTGTCCATCTTGTGGAGAATGTTTTCATTCCCAGGAGTCTGGTCAGTCATGGGTTTTGCTGATGTCTTGTATGTGTTGAGCTGATTATTTATGGCCCCTGGTTGTTTAGTATCTCTGTATCTCACAGACTTAACTGTTCTTCGGTTGTCTGGGGTTGTTTCAGTTTTTTGTCATGTTTGTAAGAGCAGTTTATAAATGAGGAATCCAGTCACAGAAACATGAAGTTCAAGACTGTATGGAGCTGCTGAAGGAGGTGGGGATGAGCCTTCAGCTGTGGTTCCCCAAGTTGATCCTTTTCCCCAGCCTGGCAGGCACCACTGCAGGGCTGATGTTTTAGAGACCAAGTACCCAGCTGACTCAGGAAGGAGAGGAGAGATGCAGAGTAACGTGTTCAGCCCCAGAGCTGGTCACTTCAAACCATGAATAACTCCTGTTTTCCAGGAATCCATTCTAACACTACTAGGG